ACTTGAGGGACCAAAACCAAAATAAGAAAATGTAACACCTCAAATTTTGACTCGGGAAGAGAAGAAAAAGAAATTCATTAAAATTATTTAATGCCTAAATAAAATTGGAAAAATTATGGAATATTGATTTTGAGGGCTTAGAAATATTTTGGAAAAGTTTATTCCCCAAAAAACAGCTTAAATAATTTTAAAGCTATTTTCATAATGAAATGGGTTATTTTCTTAGAAAATTCTAAGAAAAATACTTAGAGGTTTCTAATTAACTAGAAAATTTTGGGAAAAATTATTTTATGAGGTAAAAAAGTTATTTGAGGTATAAAATCCATAAAATGGGTTAAGAATTAATTTCTGAAATTAAGAGCTATTTTCTTAAAAAAAATTCAAGAAAAATAGTTAGGAGTTGACTTTGACCAGAAATTTTTAAAGAAGTTATTTTATGGGTCAAAGAAGCTAATAGATAATATAACTCCATATTATAAATTCTGCATATATTTTACGTTTAGAAAATCGGAGAAGCATAAAATTGGAAGTATAAATGTGATAGAAGGGCAAAAGGGTACAGGAATTTTTCTTATACACGTGCTGCCTCCCTTATTAATCTTCTGAATTCGCCTTCCATCCTCATTTCTGCTGCCATTCAAAGAGGAATACGCGAGAGAAAGAGTGAGAGAAGACGGAGGAAGAGCTTGGCCGGAGAGGTGATAGGAGGTGGTGAAGTTACATGCAAGAGTGATTTTCGGTTAAGGTGAGTCTCTTGACCACTCTCCTACTCTTCATTTCTCCATTCTCTGCGTGATTGAAGAGTTGAGGGAAGATGAGATTTTGGGTTATCAAGAAATGGGGAAACCAAATGAAATAATGGTCGGAACAAGTAGATTAAAGATTGTGTAAATGAGCTTAAGTGTTGCATGTTGATAAATCTGGTTGCATGTGGATTTTCTCCCTCTGTTTTCCCAGACCGAAACAGGGGTTAAAGGTTCAGGAAAGTGGCATCTAGTTTGGGTGTTGGTTCCGCTTTATGATGACCTTCGAACTAAAATCTTCTTGTTTTGGGCTGAACATTGTTGGGTTCTTTGAGAGTTAGGAGAAGGATGTGAGAATGCATATTTATATAAAGTGAAATGCAGTTTGCTCTTCCCTTTCTTGCCAGCCATGACTGTTGGGAAAGTGTTCTAACTTGGGGGATATATTTATATACATGTGTATAAGAATATGGAATCTGAAACTTTACTAAAATTGTTGATTGATGTTCTCTTAGACCAAGTGATTGTTCAAGCTAATTAAACCAAGTTAGAGATCTGAAAACGAAGGTCCAAATCTTGTTTCTTGAACTGAAATTTCGGGACCATAAATGGTTTCTGTTTGCAATATTTTTGAAAGATAAAATCTGGAATTTTAAATGAAATGAAAGGACCATTATTTAGAAATATGAGATATATATATATATATATATATCCATGTGTGTATACGCTCGGTTTCTAGGTGTAGTTGCCGCCCCTATGTGTTAGAAATTGATTCCTCAAATGTTGGAATCATTGTAAAGATCTGGAATTTCCAGATTTGAAGAGTAGGCCGAGGGATTGTTTGATTTCGGGTTCTTTGGAATTAAAAGTTAAGAAATGGAAGAGAGTTGGATAGTAAACTGTGTGAAGCTTAATGTTCAGGTTCTAAATACTAAATGATTATTTTGTGTGACTAAACCATGCTCAAAGATACTCTTCCGGTCCTTAATATAAAACCTATTTAACTAATTTGATTAGATTAAGGAAGTTAGGTAAGTTGGTTAATTATAAAAAAAGTGACACATTTTTCCTAAAACACCATAATCATCTTTCTTAATACCTCATCTCCCTCTTCTATTTGATTATGGTTGAGGGAGTATCCATAGGGGTAGTTTAGAGAAAATTGATAAATATGAGAGATGGGTCTTATATTTAGGACCAAACCCAACTCAGCAATTGGATCCTATATTAAGGACCGGAGGAGTATTAAAATGAGGACTCAGATGCTCTTATTGAAGCTAGGAATTTTAAAAGTTGGTTAAAGGCACCTAGAAGTTAATGGTTATATATTATATAGTGTTGGTATAAAATATCAAGATGAGTGCTGCAAAATTTAAATTGGGACACATGATTTTAAATCTGGAAAGATTTCCAGAACAAAGAATAAAGCTGCACAAAGTTTCTGAAAACGTTTTAAGTGTTCAAATGCTGCAAAAATTTTGTATGGTCTAGATGATATATGGACTTGTATGCAGATAAACATAATCACATATTAAGGTTTGTAATTTTGGAGGCTGAAATTGAAGAGAAACGCACTGTTATGATGCTATATAATATTTTAGAATTATATGGAATTGAAGAATCATATATACTAAAGCACCTAGACATGCCTAACTGATGAATGGATGGAATGAAATTGGGAGCCAAGTTTCTATTTCCTCTCCCCTGTTCAGCCAGCGACTGTTTCAACATGAAGGAGATGAATTTATTTAATGTTCAAACTTAGAACTAAACTTGGCGGCTGTTTTGGGGATGAAAGGAATCAAGCTAGGAATTGATTTGAAATTTATTATTGAGGTTTGTTTGAGGTTCCAAATGGTGAATGGACATTGTAAATGGATTAACTGTTATGGTGTTTGGAAATTATTTTATGGTATACATTTGGGACTCAATAGTATATAGTCAATGATTGAGGTATGGGTTAAAAATTGACAACTGATTAGAAAGGTTGCTGGAGGAATGTTGGACCAAAGATTAAGAAGATTGATAGATGGTTGGAAATTGAAATTGCTTAGCTTGGATTTAAATAAGTATTATGTTAATTGTTAATAAAAGCTAGCAGAGCTTATAGAATTATTTTAGAAAAATGAAGCAAAATCAATTGGTACGATTATATATGTATAATATTTTTGACTAAAATGACCAGTTACTAAATAAAGTAACTATATAGGTTAAGATAAGAAAGGAAATTTTCCAACGAAAGTAGTTTGAATAAGAAAAGTTGTCTATGATGACCAACTACTAAGTAAGGGTAGAATTTAAAGAAATTGGGAATTCAAAGAAAGTTGTTTAATTTGTAAACTGTATTTAGATTAAGAGTTAATCTACCCTTCCTAATATGACAAGCTTTTATATCTGCTCAAGCTCACCAGGAAGCATAGAGAAAGGAGAACGATGAGGTTTGATTTGGAGGGAAGCGGACCAGGTAGTAGTTCTTTCCTACCTCACACTTATGTCTGATTGTTGCATGTCTGTTTGTGCCATATTGCTATTTAGAGCATGAGAACATGTAATCCTTAATTCCTTGCATGGATTATTTAGCCGTGATCACATGTAGCTGATAGACATAGGGCAGTATCTACCAATTATTAACGCATTATTTATTCAACTTGTCTATCTATCATTGCATATAAATACTTAATTGCATTAGCTTGGAAGATTATGTTTTACTTTGGCTTGTTTTGCATACTTTGTATAATCTGCACATTTGTTTGATGGAAATTACTACTATAGGGATTCTTTAGAATCTCACCCTCCCATTTATGATGAACAACAAAGGCTAGTAGCTTGAAGGATATGGAGCTTGTTTAAGAAGAAGGTGAGTTGGTTGAAGAGCAGGGATGCCTGCTATATTCTGTACGTAGTTGTAGAATATTTGGATAATTTAATATTTATACTATTATATATGTTATATGGGCAAGTAACTTAGGAGAGCACTGCCAGGCATAGGCAAGTGCCGTCGACCTAGATGGTTGCTATATTTTTAATATACTATTATGAGATTGCATAGTATGAAATCATTTTAGGTGATAATAGATTAAGTTGAAAGCAGGGTTGATTGTGGATCACTTGTTAGTTATTCTAAATGTTAGAAATATTTGATCGACGGATTCTAATGTTGAAGGGGAAAAAAATTCCCTCTCTTTTACGAGGTTAAAAACTTAGCATTAGTGATTCATAGTATTATACTGGTCCTATTAGTATATAGAAAGTTAGGTGTTGTAGAAAAAACTTGAAGGACCAAAGTTTGTATTAACCCGTCACAATATTATCAATGTTTGTGTTCTAGATGTGCAAAGCTTGATGATACAATTAGGCTAAAAATAAAACCAGGTGCTTTATTTACATGATAAGATTCAAGGGGATCGGAAATTTCTTATTCAACAAAAAATACATAAAGTAATAAGATGTGAAGGGGACACAAATTTCATCCTCCAGAAAATAATACATATTATGGTAAGATGTGAATTAATTACATGCACAATTCATGGCCACTTCTCTACCTTCTTGAAGATGCCTTGACCATAAGTAGAAAAAGTTACTTCAACAAGAAGAGGGAATTGTAATAATACAAAGAAGATTATTGGAACACAAGCAAGGACAATAACAGGAAGAGTAACCCATAAACGTGATGAGTTATATTGCAACATGATCATTATGGTTGCTGAAAAGGAAATCATCATAGTTGCGATAGGCAGAAAAAGTGTAGACAAACCTATTATCAATTTTCTTAGTAACGAGTAAAGAAAGTCTTCTTCTGCAGCGTGATGTAAGGATTCCTGAAATGTGAGCACAGAAGTAGTGGACGGAAACAAGGAAAGTGCATCTGAAATTAAGAAAGCTTTAAATAACTTCTCCTTCATAAACAGTGGGTACCCTGAATTCTCGTTGTTCCCTCCAGAAACTATTAAAGCTACGGCAAACATGATGGTAACAATTAGAGCCCCAACAACTGAGCAAGAAGACGCTGTTTTCTTCATCCATTTTCCTCCTTCAGCCCTCAGCTCTTTCTAGTTTTCTTTGAAAAATTCTAGAGGGATGAGCCCTTTCTTGTTTGGAAATAGCCTATCTCCAGGATCCATCACACTCTTGACGGCCCATGTTTATAGAAAATAAATACACAATAAGAAATCTATAAAAGACACAAAGTATTGAAGGAAAGAGCATTAAATTTCAATTCTAATAACTAACCTTGAACCATTGCATTTCTCTTTGTATCTACAATGCGGTCCCGGGGATGCAGTTAAGGTAGGAAGAAGGAGATAACATGGCTGCCACATGCAGCAAGTTATTTAAGTTCTCATGATCAACTAATGTCACCGCCACATTCTTAAAGCGAAAACCATGGAGGAGATTGAAAATCTCAGATCTACGATATTTAACAGCATCGAAGAAAAAGGGCAAGTCTGGGTAGCCAAAAGTGACTAGCGTGATTAATTCTGGGTTTGCCTTCGTTACTCGCAAACAAAACTCAACATTCTCTGCTTTAGCTGCAGCAATCATTGCTTTTCCAACCATATTCTTCTTTACTTTATTCAAATATATCATATCTTCACAAACTAGATTTAGAATTTCAGCTGCTTGTGGATGTTGCACCTTCATCTTGTATATTTCCCTCATTCCTGCACCATTGGTAAATCAAATACAACTAAAATATTACAGGCATCCAATTTAAGTTCTGGAGGACTTTTTGCCATACTTATATACCTGAAAAATTATAGATGCTGGAGATAAGCGAATGGAGCAGACCTAGCCCTGTTTGACATGGATTTTGGTGTACTTGAATTCACGTAAAACGAATAAAATGAAAAAACTTTACATTGTATAATCTGTGTTCTATAATAATAGTTATATAATATTATTTGATTTCATCTCCTAAAGTGATAGAGAATTATGTACCTTGACCGGCTTTGTTGCTTTCGCCTCTTGCTGAATACCTACGCAGAAATGCCCAGTCGTTGCGGTTGATGGTATTTTCATATCTTCCACCCAGAAGTGATCAAAGAAAACATAAGCTTCTTCAAATAATAATGCAATAAATTACAAGAAGTACAAGTAAATTACATTAATAGTATTAATTAATTGCCGCCACCTCCTAATTAAGTCAGGGGATTGTTTTCTATGAAACATAAAGTCAGAGATAATATTTTCCAATAAATTGATAGTGTTAATTACATAAATAGTATTTTTGGATTTTGCCAACATTATGTTTGGAAATACGTCATAAAAGTTTCACCACATTTTCAAAGAGACTTATAATGGACCATGAAAATTTTTTAGAAGATATCTTATTTTATTATTGGATGTAGTGTAGTCATAAATACTGTTATTATGCTGACAATAACAACGAATTATCATAATACAACACTAATTGTAAATATGTGTGTGTGTGTGTGTAGAGTTGTTGTCCACTGCAAGTGATTAAGCAGATTGATAGCTTATGGAAAATTTTGAAGCAATCATCTTGCAAAAGGACAAAAGCACTGAGTGAAAAATAACTAAATTAAAGAATAGGCTTGGAAGAGAGAAGCAAGGGGGGAGTCTTCTAATTTTCTGTCAAAGAACTCGCATTCCGAAACACATAATTATGGATTTAGAGTTCTCACAAAACTATACCTAAAACTCTAAGACTCATTATTTATGGTAGCAAACTTACTGTTAGAATTTACACTTTCTAACATGTTCTTACATAGTGGACTTCCCTTATTCTCTAATCCGGCCCATACTTAATCCTTATCATTGTAATTCACCACTTCGGCTAGTGTATAATTAAAATGAGCAAACAACATTAAGGACATTGTAGGGAAAAACAGAGAGTAGAAATATGCACCAACAGTGATAGGGCCATCGCTTCCAGAATGGAAGTTGACTTTTCTTAAGAGTATTAGGAAGATAGAGTGCAATATTTTGAATTGTTGGTTCCTCGTCCAAGTCAGTAGCAAAAAGCAGCTCCGTGCATCGTTGGAGCAAATGCAAGGCAATATCTGTTTATGTATCAAAATCATAGAGTATGAGATGGAATGGAAAAATAATGACGACATGTATAAACAGACAAAGAAAAAAATGAAAATGAAACACATATATTACTATGCTTTGTGTATAAAATTATATATATAGAAGTTATGCTACCAAATTCTCCAATTGACAAACAGTTAGCGAGAAAAGCAGGCCCCACAGTGCGGTTTTTTGGTTTGAAGACTTCCAAAGGAGTGACAGAATAAAGATAACGTCCCATTTCCTTATGGCCAGAATCAAAAGCCACGGTAACAGGAATCTGCCAATCTTCACTTGGAATTGCAAGTGCCTTTTTATTTTTGTTGATCAAGCATGCTGCAACTGGGATGAGTTCACTATGTGAAACAGCTATTGCAAGCGGAGTATTGTTATAATAAGCATCACGTATCTCCAGATATTCTTCTAGAACTAATCTCACCAACTCCTCTACTATGCCCAGATGCCCAAACTTTGCAGCCACATGAACAGGTGTTTCGCCCATTGAAGTGGCAAAATCTACATCCAATACCTCAGGATGGCGAACAATGGATTCTTTTGCAGCCGACCACTTGTTCTGCGCTATGGCCTTGTACAGAATACTTATCCCTAATTCTTCTGTATGTAATCACCACTAAATTAATTAAATGCTGAGGAATCATATAAATATGATCTGTCCACTAGGAGGGCAATGAGAGAATTATATAGGGCACTGATCTGGGGGAGAAGGGCATGGCGCAGTAGTATAGTAGGTATAATAGAGAGTATCCATGCAACTTTGGCTTCAGAGACCCCTCTTATATGCGAGTGATTGGGATGCCCACAAGAGATACGGATGACGTGCAATGCTGCAGCATTGTTTCTTCTCCATTTAGCAAAATCTTCCACCTGATTTTCGTCTGGTCTTACGCTACTATTCGTCAGTTCCCAAAGATCGTCAGATATCAGATAGTTCTTAACCCATTCGAAACAATCTTCACTGCTGTCTTCCGTCAGTGGCTCTGCAACTATGTCGTTAAAATTGCGCCTCCCTTCCATAACTCAATTAAAGCTGTTTCTGCAGATCCGTGGTGGTGATGATACTCTATTTAATACTACAAATAGCTGCGCCTTTGAAAATTGAAATTGTAGCTACCAATTAATCCCAGGGTGCCCCACCTCTAAACAAATAATACATCATTCCACCATTAAAAATCCTGAAAGCTTGTAGATCGATGAGGGTTTGTCGCCTCGTCTTGCTCCAGCTTCTCCTGTATCAGCTTGTCCGTCTGTCGTTTTGTGTGTTTTTCTTTGTTAGAAAATCTACGTTGAATCCAAAACAAAGAAGACGAGGAAGCTAACGGCAAAGGAAAGTAAGAAACAAAGAAGATGAAGTTGACGAGACCGAAGGAAAAGATACAGTGAGAAACCAAAAAGCTGAGTGAGGCTTAGAGCATGCGAATTGAAGCAGTGTGAGAGGAATTTAATGTTGGTCAGATTATTTGTCAAACAACACGTGACTGGGGTACGGGTAGGCAGGAGGTGGACTAACATTTTACCTTAAAGATTCAAATTTTAAATGAATATTATATTAAGTTAATGATAAATATTGGGTGGTGATTGGGAGCTGGGAGAGATTTTGTTTTATAAGATAAAAATAATACTCCTCTTGTCCTATTTATAGAACAGAGAGAGAAGGTTTTTTTGTCTTATTTATAAGTTACCTTATTAAATTTTCAGCGTAAATGTATTATTTTGTCCTTCATTTATTATAGTGTAAGTAGTTATCTTTTTTGAACGGTGTATATATTAAATATGGGTAAAGTTGGAAAACTGTAATATTTTAATAGAAAGTTAATACATTTTAAAGTTTTTTTAGTCTATGTAAAATATGCTGAAAGTGTCTTATAAATAGGACTAGAGGAGTGTATTAATAAAAACTGATTAAAAACAGTTGAGTTTAATTTTTTTAATACTAGGTTGATATATACTCCTCCGGTCCTATTTATAGAACAGAGAGAGAAGATAATTTTTTGTTCTATTTATAAGGCACTGAGAGAAATTTTTTGTATAGATTTACAAATTTACCCCTTATTTATTACTATGTTGGCTTTGTTTAAATGAGGAATAACGTATATTAAATAAGGATAAAGTTAGAAAGTTACTAAATTTTAAATGAGAGTTAATGAAGTTTAAGATTTTTCTTAGTCTGTATGAAATATATTGAAAGTGCTTTATAAATAGAATCAGAAGAGTATATTGTTACTGTGATGTAATTTGAAAATGTAATTATATTGCTGGTAAAAAAAGATGTAATTATATTACATTTTTTAAACACAGTACGGTATCTAATAAATCTTCTACCTCTCTCCTCTTCACTGTAATCACCACCTATAGTAGTTTGAGAAATTAAAATACATATTTCATCCAAAGAAACAAAACACTAATTGCGATTACCAGTTGTTGCTTGCTGCATGTGAATCTGTGGTGGCAATGGCTTGCTACTTCTTTTGCAGCTGGCTCTCACATTTCACAAACTCTTCTTCTTCTTCTTTTTTACTGAAAATCTGAAAGCTTGCATTAATCAACCAAACACCAGAACAAAACCGAAAACAAAATCCGTTTCACAAACTCTTCCCACATTGTATATCTATAGACGTTTTCCCTACGTTTTTGTATTGTTTGAGACATTTTTTGAGGCATTTAATACTCTGTCCAGTTGCTAATATAAAAGTTAGTTAGAGATTGAATTTGGTCCTAAATATATATTATCTCAATCTATTTATCTCCCATTTGAATTTATTTTCTCCAAACTAATTATAATTTACATAACGTATAAACTAATATATAATCTAATGTTATGCATGAGTTATGTTAGGATATCAAATTACATATGTTATAATTAACTAATTTATTTTATTTTTTTAATTTTCTCAAATTAATTAAGTAATGCTTATATTAAAAATGGAAGGGAGTATATAATTCAGGGAAGAAGAAATGGACAGTGATTATATTCTCCTGTTTGGACTCGTACAAACTCAACATATATGTATATGCACGGTATATATGCCCTCATTGAAAGTAATCATTTAATGACGCACAACTTAGAATAACAATATAAAATTTTTATTATTGTAAAAACTACTAATAGGGTATTAACGTAATTAACTGTCTGGCAAAAAATTAACGTAATTAGCTGTATGTAATTAATTACGTCGTAAACCTTATTATTTCCTAATTATATTAAACATTCTTTATAATCACTTTAATTTTTGCCTTTTGAAGGTGTTGGCACCATAAGTGCATGGATTATGACAAGTAATTGTTATGAGTCTCACATGAAGAATCTTACAAGTGTTGAAAGTGCCGTAAAGTGGAGCCGCCAGGGATATCGGCTCTCGAGAAGGGTGCTTTGTTGTAAGTCCTGTTAGGGAATCTGACAAATGTTGTGAGGTTTATAAGTTTAAAGGCTCTTCTTCTTAATAGGCTAGTCTTTTGGGATTGAACTCTTATTTTAGACTTGTGCTTAGTGTCACAACTATCCTTTATACACCAATATAGTTGTTCTATTTAATCTCGAATCATTAAAAGCCAGGTTCCAATCCTTGGGAAGACAATTTTTGTTTTTTAGTTCCCAAATACAAAGTCTGATCCTGTTCAAGGAATGAGATTTTCTGAAAAGTTTTAAACCTTTCAAAATTCACTTTTAAGTAACCTGTCTAGTGGTTCGAGTATCCACTTTAACCTTTTTACAAAAATGGTAAAAACTGTTAAAAACCCATGGTTCATATTCAACCATAGAACCCATTCTTTTTCTATCCACCTTTTGGATCCCATATTAAATCAATTATACCCACTAGGATCTAGCCATAAGCTCGTACAACGAGTTACACATATAGATACATGTAATTTTAGACAAAATAATAACTATATATCAAAATATTGATCATTTCCTTTAATAGCAGTTACCATGGTTTATCTGCCCTTAGCCACCTCCTTATGGAGGAATATTTACATACCAAAATAGATATACAATATATCTTCACTTCAAAATAAGATGCATTTTAAGCAATATATATATATATTCACCCTCTACACCATTCCTTCAAAAATTCCAGATTGCCCTATTAATCAGGTATACGTAATTAATACCATGGGATTTAGTTTCATCCCTCAAATCATAACATCAACGTTGCTGAGATAAACACCAACAATATACACACATGTCATGCTTCAATTAGTTCCCAATCTCAACAATTTCCTTCGCTTATGAAAATTCTAGATTTTGGCATTACTTTTCCATTTTAACTCCAAGAAAATCTGTTCACTATAATTCAGAACGTGGAGCCAAAACCAAAAGAATACATATAAAGAGCCCAATTCTTTCTCCCAATGCTCCGGTCTCAAAAGGCTTTGTTCTATATATCTATATATATATATATATATATATATATATTTATAGCTCATGTGTTTAGCATTCAAATGCTTCTTGACTAGCAAAATCGAACAGCGTCCTTCCATCATTAAGTCTGGAATTTTCCTTATTCAAAGCACACACTCTTCGATCCCTCAATAACCACACAGAGCATATAAAATCAACATATTATAATCATACAACCAGAAAATAATTAATTATATTTAGACTCGTTAATCATCTATTACCCAGACCAGAAGCCATTTCCTTAAATCCTCGAACCTCTGTTTCAGAAACTTTAACCAGAGCAATCAACCGAAAAAAAAAACAAGTGCGGAAATCTCAACCACAAACTTCATCCTAACCATTAAGCACGGTGTGTACAGCTTGGCTGTCATGCTCTTCAGTTTCTCCCTCAAAAACCAGATGTCATCTTCATTATCGTCTTGCAATACATGACCAATTAACAGAAAACAAAGATGAAAGAAGATTCAGGAGACTCACCTTGTTTGATTTTCACTTTGGTATAAATCGATTCCCTCCTCCGATTGCCTTTGCTCTTCTTGATCTCCCTCGAAGTCTCTCAACTCTCTCTCTGTTTTCCCTTCCAATAGCAGAGCAAAATGAGAAGGGAGGAGGTGTTAGGCATATTAGATGGATGAGGGATGTGAAATGACCATTTTGCCCTTTGGTCTTTATTTTCCCTTCAATTTGATCCTTCTCTACATTTTTTTTTTGGACAATCAAATAATTCCAGAAATCACACCTGGATATCTATATGAAGTTTCTTCTTCCATTAGCTTCTTTAGTCTATAAAATAATTATCCTAAAAATCTCAGCTCAAAAATTATCCTCTAACTATTTTTCCTCAAATTTTCCAAGAAAATAGGTCCTAAATTCCTGAAATTAACTTTATAATTATTCAGACCATATTTTAAGGGTCTTAATCTCAACAATTTCTCTAAAAAATTTCTGCTTCATCATGCTTTACTCAAATCCATAAAATTTGAGATATTACACTTAGCACAATAACACAGTGATGAGAAAAAAATTGTTCTCATAGAGATTTACAAAAAAATGAAGAGCAAAAAACAGGCCAAAAGTAAATTCAATTAAGTTGAACTGAGAAATTTTTTTGATGAATAGTAGGAATTTTGAAAACTATTTTTAAAACTAGAAATTAATAAAAACAATTTATTCTTTAACTTCAAGGATTAAAAGCGACTTAGGATTGTTTGTCCATTTTGTATATCATGATCTTTAATTTGTTTCCTCTCATAGATGTTCTTAATAAAAATAAGTGCTACTCTAGGATTTAAAAAATACTTGTAAAAGCTCTCTCAAATTAAGAACAAATGTTTGCTTCTATTAATTATTGCTCACTTGCTTGTTACAATTAATAGAATTAAATTTTCAGTTCCAATTCTAACATGACCATGCAGATTAAAACTGGCAAATATATCTCTGTCTTAGCAATAAAATCATCCATTCAATATGCAAATTTTAATTCTCCCAACAAAAAATTCAGAGGTAGACCGTAGATGGTTTCCAGTAAGTATTGTCTCTGTGATGCCAGAAGTCAGCTGCTCTTATTAACTCCCCAACCACGAGTAATAAAGCAATTCAACGAACTGATGTGCTACAA